TACTTAATTAAATCAACCAATAAAACAATAGTAACCAGCAAGTCGAAAATACAATTTCTTATTAAAAATATCCAACCAAGCATAACCAGAAATAACCAGCAATCTTAGCATAACTCTAAAACGGGGTTCAATAACCATAACATAAAAAGACGCTACCAAAATGAGTTCTTAGATCAACCTTTCTTCCTCGCCATAATTCCATGTCACACTTTTCCTTTTACCTGCACCATACAGAGAAGAGATGCATAAGTATTATCACAAATACTTAGTAAGACGATCCTCCCATCAACATGCTATACACACAACCAAGATGTAAAAATCAAGACAAACAACAATAAGCAATCAACAAATCAAACCAGACAACTTTAGGAACCTGAAAAGCTCCCAGCCAGACCTGGTATCGATCGACACCGACACCGCAAGAGACATGGAAAACGATCCTTGCCTCTCCCGGCTTTGTTCCCTATTGTATACGTCGAGTCTCACTCGAACCAAGGCACAATACAAGCGTACAAGACCAGAACACATAACAATCAATCCTCAATCAACCTATAACACTCAAACAAAGCATCAAAACTTCCCAACTTGTTTAGATAAGCCATGGTCACGCACTCACCTCAATTTAGGATGGGTTTGAGAGAAGAAGACACCAACTCCACACCACAACAACCTTCTCTCAACTCAACAGCCATTGATATCTTCTTGTATGCTAACCCCAAAAACAAGCTTTTCTCCTCTCCTTAACTCACTCAAACCCTTCCCTTTTCTCTCTAGATCAATCACAAAGCCAACTCTCTCTTTTTCTCTTTTCTAGAACGATAAGGCACTCAAAACTGAAAGAGAGGAGGCTGAATCGAGTTTTAAAAGAGAATTAGGGTTTTTTCTAATTGATTTCTGATTAAACCAGCGATTTAAAACGAACCGATCAATCCTGACATTATTGGTGTCGAGCGACATCCACCAGATGTCGATCAACACCACCTCCATTCTGGGTTCGGGATGTTACAATTACACTATGTGACACGTTTTACTACGAAAGATATCGAGATACCTACATGGGTTATGTTCTTTAAAACCTTAACTTTTAGCTACTTACGAATAATTTGGATGATGATGACGTTGAATTTGTTGAGAAATTGGGAGTTTAGTAGATATGTATGTCTTTATTTGTAAATGTGGCTTGGAATAGTTGAATAAATTTTGTTTTTTTCATGCTTTATTATGTTTGTTTATGTTTATGCATTTGTCACATATTTAATTGACTAACATTTTGGAATATTCCATATGCAGATGGATATACGTAATTTTCGTGTTGAAGAACCACAAAATGCCCAAGTGAATCATATTGATTTTCTCACTAAAAAGGATGCTCTAAATATTTACACCAAGAATATGTCGAATCAGAAAGATTATGATCGTAATTTGGAGTCGGAGGTAAATTTAGTTAGTTAAATAAAAATTTGTTATGAGGCTTTAATTATGTTTGTTTATATTTATGCATTGTTACAAATAAATATAAAAACTAACGATTTGGGTTATTTTATATTTAGATAGATACCAATTCTTTTCTTCATGATGACTTGGCGTTGAGTCTATCTGGTGGAACATTTAACATCAAAGAGCCTCTTGAGAATAATATATCTTCTTCTCACGGTATACATACACAAGGTAAATAGAAAAGTTGATGGTTTATATGTTAAAGGTAATGAAGTAGAAAACATTATTTTATAAGACTATAAAAAGTAAAAATTCACAACGATGTATTTTTTCTCGCAGATTCAAATGAAAGGGGAATTGATAAACATTTAACTACGATAGATATCGAGAACACTTCAGGGGTAATGAATCATCATTAAAACCTTAACTTTTAGCTAGTTAGGTTAATCTGAATGATGATGACGTTGAATTAGTTGATAACTTAAAGAGTTTAATTAGTATATATGTATGTCTGTATTTGTAAATATGGCTTGAGTTAGTTGAATACATTTTGTTTTTTCACACTTTATTGTGCATGGTTATGTTTATGCAATTGTCACATATAATAAAGACTAACATTTTGGAGTATGATTAATCTTCGTGTTTAAGAAACACAAAATTCACAAGTGAATCATATTGATTTTCTTACTAAGGAATATCCTCCAAATATTCTCCCTAAGAATCTATCAAATCAGAAATATTGTGATCATAATTTGGAATTTGTGGTGAATTTAATTTGTTAATGAATTGGGAGTTTAGTAGAAATGTGTGTCTTTATTTGTAAATGTGGCCCGAATTCGTTAAAAAAAATTGTTTTTCTCATGCTTTATTTTATTGTGTTTGTTTATGCTTATGCATTTGTAACCTGTTCGATCAATTGATCAGTTTCATTTTTGGGTGTTCCATATGCAGATGGAAATAAGTAATTTTTGTGTTCAAGAAACACTATATGCCCAACTGGATCGTTTTCTTTTAAATGATGATTTTTTTGCAAGTCCTTACTCCAAGAATCAATCATGTCAGAAAGATTATGAACGTACTTTGGAATTAGAGGTAAATTTAAATAGCTAAATAAAATTTTGTTTATATGCTTCAATTATGTTTCTTTATGCATTGTTACAAATAAAAAAGACTAACGATTTAGTTTATTATATATTTAAATAGATACCAATTCTTATTTTCATGATGACTTGGCGTTGAGTCTAGTTGGTGGAACATTTAACCGCAAATATCCTCTTGAGAGTTATATATCTTCTTCTCACAACATACATAGACAATGTAAGTAAAAAAAAATTAGGTGGTTAATGTTAAATGTAGCTAAGTAGAAACATATTTTATTGGAAAACAATAAAATGTAATAGTTTTTAACGATGTATTTTCCTTGCAGATTCAGATGAAATGGCAATAGATCAAGATATTACTGCGATAGATTTCGAGAACACTTCATGGGTAATGAATGCTCATTAAAACCTTAACTTTTAGCTAATTCGATTTAATTTGGATGATGATGACGTTGAATTAGTTGATAACTTAGGAGTTTAGTAGATATGTATGTGTTTATTTGTAAATGTCTCTTGGGTTAATTGAATAAAGTTTGTTTTTCTCATGCTTTATTGTGTTTGTTATGTTTATGCATTTGTCACATATTAAAAAGACTAACATTTTGGGGTATTTCATATGCAGAGGGATATGTTTAATTTTCGTGTCGAAGAAACATAAAATGTCCAAATGAATCATATAGATTTTCTCAATAAGGAGGATCCTCCAAATAATGTCCCCTTGAATTTATCGAATCAGGTTGATTATGATCATAATTTGGAATCAGAGTTAAATTTAATTAGTTAAATAAAAATTTATTTTTAGGCTTTAATTTTGTTTGTTTATATTTATTCATTGTTACAAATTAAAAAAAAAAAACTAACGATTTGAATTATTCTATATTTAGATGGATACCAATTTTTTTCGTCATGATGAATTGGCGTTGAATCTGCATGGTGGAACATTACACACCAAGAAGCCTCTTAAGAGTAATATATCTTCTTCTCATGACACACGTACACAAAGTAAGTAGAAAAGTGGGTCGTTTATGTTAAAGGTAATAAAATAGAAAAACATTGTTTTCGAAGAGTATAAAGAGGAGAAAATTTGTAAAGTAGACACTTTTTATATAAATAATTTGTAAAGTAGGTAATTTTTTAGAAATTAGGAAAATATGTACTTTTCTCTTTCCTCTCAAATACAACTTTCTCTCTAATAGAGATATTAGTAAATGACATATCTATCATTTTTTGTTTTTATGCACCCACATAAGTTATATTTGACTTTAAGTAAAAAGTTTTTCTCTTTTCTTTTTCTTTTTTTTCATTTAAATAATTATATCTTGTTTTGTGAGAAATTCATCATAAAAAAAATTACCACAACAACATATTGTCATGTCTAGTATATCACTTTTTATATCAATATTATATATTACATTTTTACATTATTGTCGTACACTACCATTCGTACACCACCATTTGTACATCACTTTCTATTGTATCACGTATACCATCAGACTGCTACAATATGGTGTACAAGATATTTATGGTCTACAACATCATACACCTTCAAAATATTGTACACCTCATCTACAGATGAAAGAACCATTATTCGTCGGTGTACTTAAAGGTCTATGAGACAGTGTATAAACATTAGTATACGAGATGATGTACACCATTAATTGAAATAATGGTTTATACATTCCTTATAAGTGTACACCAAGTTTTGTACACTTTATCTACCAATCTCGTATGCTATCATTTAATAGTGGTATAGACCATTCCATCCACCAATCTCGTACATCATAATGGTTTACATCGTTATGTACACCATCAAGAGTAATTTATTTATGTACACCATCTTGTACACCATTGTATTGACTAATAATATTTGGTTTATATAGTCATTATGTTTGTACAAATATTCTCAACAATATTACTTCAATTTATAAGTACGAGACAAGTCGGTGTACTTGATGATTTATGAAATATCGGTTTACACTAACACTTGTACACCGACGAATAATGGTTAGTGTACAAAACGATGTTTAAAATGCTTGTGTATGTGCTTATAAAAATTACCATAAAATAAAGAAAATATTCTTTTTAATAAAGTTATTTAAAAAAATTAAAAAAAAAAGAACCAAAAAGATAAAGAGAAACAAAATAAAGTTAAAGTGGTATCTCACATTCTTTTTATTCTCTCTTAAATTAAAGGGTAATTTAGTATTTGATATGTATTTTGTTTTTTTAGTCTATTAGACATATCCTCTATCTCACAAAAAGCAAAAAAATGTCTATTTCTCTCATTTAAAAAAAAACTACCTACTTTACAAATTACTTTTGAAAAAGTGTCTAATTTGCCAAAAAAGCCTATAAAGAGTAAGAGCTCACAATAATGTATTTTCCTTGCAGATTCATGTGACCAGAGAATAGAGAAACTTCCTCCTACGATAGATATCAAGAACAATTCAATGGTAATGAATAATCGTTAAAACCTTAACTTTTAGCTAGTTAGATTTAATGTGGATGATGATAACGTTGAATTAGTTCATAACTTAGGATTTTAGTAGATATGTGTATCTTTATTTGTAAATGTGGCTTGAGTTAATTGAATATATTATGTTTTTTATGCTTTATTGTGTTTGTTTATGTTTATGCATTTGTCTCATATTATAAAGACTAACATTTTGAGGTATTTCATATGCAGAGGAATATGATTAATTTTCGTGTTGAAGAAACACAAAATTCACAAGTGAATCAAATTGATTTTCTCACTAAGGAGGATACCCTAAATATTCACCCCAAAAATATGTCGAATCAAAAATCTTACGATCATAATTTGGAATCAGAGGTGAATTTAATTAATTAGTTGAATTAAACTTAGTTTTAATCTTTAATTTTGCTTATTTATGTTTATGCATTCTTACAAACTCAAAAGATTATGTTTTTGGGTTATTATATATTTAGATAGATACGAATTCTTTTCCTCATGATGACTTGACATTAAATCTACGTGGAGGAACACTTAGCACCAAATAGCCTCTTATGAGTCATATATTATCTTCTCACGAAAAATATAAGCAAGGTATTTAGGAAAGTTGGTTGTTAATTTTAAAGGTAATTAAGTAGAAAAACATTTTTTTGAAGACTATAAAATGCATAACGATGTATTTTCCTTGCAGATTCAGATGAGAGGGTAGCAGAAAAACATTTTACTACGATAGATATCGGAAACACTTTAGGGGTAATAAATGATCGTTAAAACCTTAACTTTTAGCTAGTTAGTGATAATTTATATGATTATTGTAGACATTTCTAAAGCAAGATAGATTTCTGCTCATTGAGCTTATTGAAAGGGAAATATAAAGACATAAATTGAATAGCTCATGAAGAGCTTTATTGTGCAAAGAAAGTAAAGAAAGGAAGAACTTTAGATTGTCACCAAGATCTAATTGATTCTTGGATTGCTTTCATAAATGGGGAAATAAGGAGAGTTGTTCTAAATGACAACTCTCTAGGTTAATTATTTGATGTTCATTACAAGAGACTATGTATATGAAACCTAGTTGCTTAGACCTAATTCTATAGCTAATGGGCTTCTCTTGAGACAAAGTCTTTGGGCTTCTTTGTGGCCTCTAATAATTATGACGTTTAATTAGTTGATAACTTCGGAGTTTAGTAGATATGGGTGTTTTTATTTGTAAATGTGTTATGAGTTAGTTGAATATATAAATTTTTCTCATGCTTTATTGTGTTTTTTTTTTGTGTTTATGCATTTGTCACAGATTTAATAAACCAACATTTTTGGTATTCTATATGCATATGGATATAAGTAATTTTTGTGTTGAATAAACACAATATGCCCAAGTGAATCAAATTGATTTTCTCACTGTGGAGGATCCTCCAAATATTTTCTCCATGAAACTGTCGAATCAAAAAAATGATCATTATTTAGAATCAGAGCTAAATTTAATTAGTTTAAAAAAAACTGTTTGTATGCTTTAGTTAATTATATTTGTTTATGTTTATGTATTGTTACAAATTAAAAAGACTAACGTTTTTTGGGATTCTGTATTAAGGATACCAATGATGTTCGTGAAGAGTTGGAGTCAAATGTACGTGATGGAACAATTCACCACAAGGAAAATCGTGAGAGTACATCTTCTTCTCAAAAAAATATACATACGGGCGTAAGGGAGGAAAGTGGGTGGTTGATGTTATAGGTAAGTAAAAAACCTTGTTTTCGAAGCCTAGAAAAAGTAAGAATTTACAACGATGTATTTATTTTCTTTGCAGATTCAGATGGAAAGTCAACAGAAAAACATATGACTTCAAATGATATTAAAAAAGATATGGGCTATAAAATTGTTCTCGACTTTGGTCCATATAATCAACCGGAAGGAGGAAGTGGAGGATTATTTGGTACGTGGCTTGGCAAATATTGTCTTGATCATCCATTTGGCCTAACTTATGAGGATTGGAGGAATGTAGATAAACAAAAAAGGATGATGTTTGGAATGTCATTCAGGTATACTGATCATACCAGTACATATATATTAATTAATATGCAGTTACTAACATTATTCTTAATATTTCTGTTTAAATGTATATGTAGGATACGTTTCATTTTGATGCTTCAAATGAGGAGTATAAGAAGTCTATGATGAAAATTTTGGGTCAAAAGGCCAAAAATCATAAGAATTTATTGTGGAATAAACATAAACGTGACACTCTTGAGGAATCTATAGAAAATCGGCCAAAAAATATTTCAGAAGAAGAGTGGCAAGATTTTGTCCATTTACAGTTTACTGAAAAAATTAAGGTAACGTAAAAAGCTATTTTTTTTTTACTTGAATATATTTTAGTGAGGTGCTAATATACTGCATATATGAGCTTCAGATATTGAGAAAGCGAAATACGGAAAGTAGCCATCACAAGACACCACATAAGTTAGGAAAAAAAAGCATTGCTCGAAAGTCTAAAGAAGATGTAAGTTTCTCTTTGAATTATATTAATTATTATGACTCTTTAAAACTGATTTCAGTTAGTAAATATTTCCAGCTTATCAAGACGGGTAAACGTCCAAGTCGAGAAGCCAATGGAGATAAATCCGTTAGATTCTTGTTCCATTATTTGTATTCTCTTGGTAATTATTTATTTATAATATATAATTAACTAACTTCTTATTAATTAATTGTAGGTTGCCGTTAGGAAAAAGAAAAAGATTATAGGGGTGGAATCTATTAGGAATGTCCCTATTTCTTCCTCGAGTTCCCCGCGTCAAAATCCCAAAGATGATCAAACCATCTTACTCATGTCATTGCATCAAGCTAACGATAAAATTGCGACTTTAGAGGAGAGTCAAGCGGCGTATCAGCAGAAGATGCAGGCTAAACTTGATCATTACGAGCATCTCTTCGATATCATTGCTAATAGAGATCCCACAGTAGAGGTGGCTTTAAAGGAAAAGCGACGACAACAAGAACTTCAACAAGCCAACAACTAAGGAAGTTCTAATCTAAGTATCTCCTAATACTAAAAAAAAAAAGAGAGAGAAACTGAGAAAGGATTGTTGTTTAAGATACCCATTAGAAATTTTAAGTACAATTATCTTCCATAGAGTGGTCAAAAGTAAATAATTGAATGATATTAAAATACTAGTATTTGTTTATTTAAAAACCCTTAGAGCATGGGCACTAGGGCAAGCAGGTGGGTGTGAGTCTTGGGGTGTAAGTATTAAAAAAACGAAAAAATTGTCTCTCTTCACACCCGGGTGTAAGTTTACACTCGGGTATAACACTTTTTCTCTCTATCTCTCTCTTTCTTTCTCTTTCTCTTTTCTCTTTTGCTTTAAATTATAATACTAAAAAAATACTTACACCCACACAAACACATTTGTCACTGCTGATGGTCTTATGAGTATCTCTAATGGGGCTAGAACAAGCTATTTCATTGAAAGAAGGGCATCAGAATTCTCACGATTGGATCCATAAGCTAGTGTGACGCAACATTTTTGGTATTGATTTAGGGTGTGATTGGTTGGACTGTATCTTTATGGTACAGCTCAAAAAAAACTTAAACCTCCAATATTAAACCAATCAAGCTTTAGCTTTCCTAAAAAATTTTACAGCCCAAAACAATTTTTTTTAGTTTTTTTTGCTGTAACTCTTAAAATTTCTACAGCATATTTTTGTGTGCTTTAAGAGCTGTACACATTTTTTCTTCTCCTATATTTAATTATTTCTTTTTCTATTGCATACTAGTGTACATGATAATTTAAATATAAGAAAAAATAATCTATTTACAATACTTTTACTAAAGTGACAGAAAATTATATTAATTATATATATATATATATTTAATTTTTATAAAATTTTATATTTTAATATATATTATCACCAAAAATTGTATAATGTATTTTGAATATATGAAACTTACTATTTATTATATATTTCATCTGTTATCTTATGTAATATATTACAAATTTTTAAAATTCATATACTTAAAATATAAATCTATAATATTGAACTAACTTTACCAATCATGCTTTACTATTAAAATACCTACCGAAAAAAACCCTACAGCTACAGCCAACACAGATACAACAAAAACTCTACAGCAAAAAAATTACAGCTACAGCTCAACCAATCACCCACTTAGTAACCTAGATTTAGAGAGATTTTATTATTTACGTTGTAAAATAAATGTTTTTATGTACAATTTTTAATTTTGAAGTTAAAAAGTATTTTTAATTTTAAAATGATTTTTCTTATTAAAAATTATTGTTAATTCAAAAACAGTTTGAATCAATTGTTAAATTAACTATCAAATTAAGCGATGACTTCACATCGAACTATTTACAACGACGCAATTGGTAGATATAATTTAGGGTGAAATAGCTAACTAACCATGTATTGAAAAAAAATTGAGATTGCTTAGGGACCGATTGGTAACGACTGTTACTTCTAGCTGTAGAGACTTTGACTCTAAGAACTTTTGCTTTAAGACTTTAACTGAGATTGCTTAGGGACCGATTGGTAAAGACTGTGACTGTAGAAACTACAATTTTAAATAATTACCGAATATGTGGAAAAAAAATCTTAAAAGAACAAGAAAAAAAATTCAATTGTAAATCAACAGAAATTTTTGAAAATTTAATTTATGAGTGAATCTTATGAGAGTTTACATACATATGGAAAGAAGAAAAAAAAACTTTAAATTTTATTTGATTTATTTCTAAAGTCAGGTTTACGTGACTTTTAAAAAATATTGATAACAAAGAGTAAAAAATAAAAAAAAATGTTGTGAAAACTTTAAAAAATTTAAAGTAAAAAAAAAATTGATTGGGAAAAAAAAACTATCGAAAATTTTAAAAACTTTTTAAAGCTTTCAAAGCCTGTACCAATCACTCCCTAATAACGTTTGGTGGGTAAAGGTATATACGATGGTACGCTTTGGAAGTAATGTTTTTTCTCACGGAGTAAAATGTTACATTTACATTTTTAAAAATAACTAGGATTCAACTTGTGGTATACTTCGAGATAATTTTTTGTAACAATCCAAACATTCAAAATTTTTTTTGAAGCATTACTAAGAATAATATAATAAAATTTCTATAGAGAAATTTCCAAAAATAGCACTAAAACAAGTTTTATAGACAATTATAGAAGACACTCTATAAACTTCCAAAAATAGCATTAGTTGATTCACTATTAAGTTTTTGTTTTAAAATTATTATCACTAGTTTATTTTTGGGAAATTGTTAAAAATACCCCTTTTGGTGTGCCCCTTTTCAAAAATGCCCCTTTTAGATGTCCATTTTCAAAAATGCTCCTTTTTAAATCTGAAATTTTTATAAAGTTTTATTAGGTTTATAAGGTACTTATGGATTGTAACTACTACTTGAAGACTCGATCCAAGTATTTATAAGGTTTTATAAGGTGTTTTTAAAGGTTTTACAAGTTATTTTAAAGGATTTTTAAGGTTTTTCAAAGGTTTTACAAGATATTTTAAAGGTTTTTAAAGGTATTTAAAATGCATTTATAAGGTATTTATAAAGTATTTATAAGATTTTAGATACATAGAAATGTAGTTTGTATATGTTTTAATAATATTACATACATATTTGGGTAAATCTTATATTTTTAAGAGCATTTTTATAAGGTTTTAAAAAAGGGGTATTTTTGAAAAGAGAAATTGTTAAAAATGCCCCTTTTTCAATACCCCTTTTCAAATATGCCCCCTTTGAGAGTCTATTTTTAAGTTTGTCCTCTTTTAATTTTTAATGACCATTTTACCCTTATTTGAAACAAAATTAGGTCCACAAAATACAAAATATTTTTTGGCGGGAAAAGTGATCCCGCAATTTTCCCGACGAAACACTTGTATAAACCTTTAAAATACCTTGTAAAATTTTCCCGTAAAAATTATTCCCGCCAAGAAATTTGAAAAAAGCGAGAAAACGTTATCTCCTGCAACTTTTATTATGGCGTATATTTTTTTCGGTCGTGGAAATGTTCGCAGTAGTGTGTTCGACGTTGTTACTCGTGTTTTTATTTTGTAAGGTTTTCAATGTATTTTAAAAGGTTTTACAAGGTACTTATAAAGTTATATAAGGTATTTATAACTTGTAAAACCTTATAAAATAACTTGTAAAATCTAAAAATATCTTATAAATACCTTATAAATACGTTGTAAAACCTTTTAAAATACGTTGTAAAATCTTTTAAAATACATTGTAAAACCTTATAAATACCCTGTAAAAAACCTTTAAAATACCTTGTAAATTTTTCCTGCCAAAAATTTAACGCCAAAAAAATTGCGGAAACATTTTTTCCGCAAAAAATATTTTTGGCGGGAAAAAATTTTACGGGAAAATTTTACAAGGTATTTTAAAGTTTTTACAAGTGTTTTGGCGGGAAAAATTGCGGGATCACTTTTCCCGCCAAAAAATATTTTGTATTTTGTGGACCTAATTTTGTTATATTTTCTTATATATTTGTGATATCTTTTATTAAAAGAAAGATAATTTAGTCATTTTGTACATAAAAAGGGGTATTTTTAAAAATGGACAGCTAAAGGGGGCATTTTTGAAAAGGGGTATTGAAAAAGGGGCATTTTTGTGAGTCTATCTTTTGAAAACTAGCATTGAAAAGGTGGCATTTTTGCAAAAGCCCCTTTTTTTCAATAATATCACAATTTTTATATAAAAAAAATTATTCAACCAAAATAAATTAGAAATAAATTTAAAATATTATATTTGGGTTCTTTATTTCTAATTTAGGGAGTATTTTTCTACCATTTAAAAGAGATTTTGATTCATTTTAATATTGAATTTGTGTTATTATGTTTAGGTTCATTAGTTTCAATTTAGAGTATATATTTCCACCATTTAAAAGAGATTTTGATTCAATTTAATATTAGTTTTGGGTTCCCTATTTCCAATTTAGGGTAAATATTTCTATCATTTAAAAGAAATTTTGATTCAATTTCTATCAGTTAGTGTATGCTCTCATTTCTATTTTCTATTTTAATTAAAGTTTAGGGTGCTATTTGTGGAATTTTAGAAATATTGTGCTATTTTTGGAAAAAAAAACTTTTTTGGGGGCTATTTTTGTCAATTACCCATTTCTATAATTTATAAACTTTGAAATCTCACAAAACTCCAAATCTTCTAAACAAAACAAATCAAACGTATGAAAATTTACCAAATTTCACTCTACGACAGACATATAGACTCTAAACCCCAGCTTCACGATGCTCATTCTCAGGGTATCATGGTTCTCAACTCACTAGGGTTAGGATCTCTTAAGTTTCTAATGTTTTTGTTCTAGTGCTCAACTACGAGGCATGAATAAACGACTAACCCTAGGTTATATAATTAATTGGCAAAGATCCCTATATGCCGTTATTTAACTTACGCAGGTAACGACGCATAGATCAACACATTAGGATCGGATTCGCTAAGTTATCTAATCTCTTTACTCAACTTACGCAAGCAACAACACAAAGATTCGGTAACACTAGGTCCAAGGTTAGGTTTACCCGGTTAGAGCTCCTACCCTCTTGGATCAGCGTTTGATGATCGATCCAAACGACATGCACTAAGTAAAAGATGTCCCAAAAGAATCTAAGTATCAACAAAAATCAGATCTAACAACCTAATAAGAATTGAACCACGAATCCCTTTTGAATCACCCCATAAAACCCAACAATTGTTCAACAATTTGCAAATAAAACTACTCACTCATGATGAAGAGAAACGAAATCATTATGATAAAGTATAGCATCGTAAACGAATCAAATAAGCAAAGAGGGGTCGAAGGAAACTTCTCTAGTTGTCACAGAAGATAACTTGTCTCCCCAAAAGCAGTATAAGAAAGAGTAGAAGAGAAAAGAAGAGAAAACAATGAAGAACAAGAGAAAGATCTTCAAAGGACGACTTCTTCTAAGCTTGGAGACGACGAGGTTGGAGCTTGGAGGCTGCAGGGGCGTCGTGGAGGCTATGAGAGGTGCATGATTCTGTGAAAAGATGCGTACTAAAAGCGTAGGGTTTTCATCTTAAGTCTCAGTATTTATAGGCTTCAGCTAAGTTTAGATGCAAAAGCGTCACTTTCCGTCGTTTGAGTAAGTGATGGGGCGAGTTTCTGGACCGATCACAAGGCTTGTGACCGGTGGTAAGCGTGGTGAGCAGCCCGGGTACGGGCTTGGTAGCCGGTGTGGCCTAGAAGCTCCGGAACGGTTGCATAGCTTCTGCCCAGTCTGGACATATCTTCACTCTTTTTGGCATAACTTCCGAGTGGCTGAATGGATTTCTTTGATTCTTCTTTGAGGTAAATCTTGAATCTTCTAGCTTTTAGTATCCAAGATCTTTTGATTTGGTGCACGGAAAGACACTCAACGGATGCCAAATTTTGGAGGTACAGAAACTGTCCTAAAACGGCCGGTTTTGCTCGACTTTTACTCCTTTTTTCTTGAAAACTTATAAATATTTCTTGAAGTAAAAATACTTGAAAGCAGCCTTGAAGTATCACCGGCCACGGGGGCTGTGGCCTGTCCCAAGGGGTATCTTCCCACTGATCACAGTTCTTGTGATCGGTCTCGGACCAATCATCTTCAATAGGGTGTAAAATCCGTTTGGCAGATTTTATTGAGTTTTCCAATGTAATCTTGACTCTTCTAGCTTTCCATAGAGTTAAATATCTCTCAATTTGATGCTCGGGAAGGTCTCCAATGGATGCCAAACCTCTGCTGCTTCAAATCTGTTTTGAAACCTGTTTTTTTGTCCTTTTCTAGTCCTTTTGCCTTAAAACTCTTAAAAGTTTCTTGACTCCATATACACTTGAATATAACCTCTTTGGCCTTAAATCACACCAAATGCTTCCTAAAACATAAGAAAAAAATAGCTAAAACAGGAAAAGTACGATGTTATCAGTTGCGTCGTGCGTCTGCGACTAGTACATAGGATATCTATATACAAAGAGTCAGAGCCCTAGAACTGAGAAAAAAGGCAAAATTTACAAAAACCAAACCGATCGGTATACAACATCTTCGGTACGACCTATGCAAAAGTACAACCGTTCGGTCATCGTCTTCAATTTCTTCCCTTGGCGCATTTTGTTGCACTTCCTCTCTAAAAATCTTCTCTTTACTTCAGCAGGTCGAGAAACTTGTAAAGACTCAACAACATCGAAAACTACCTTGTTCTCGATAAAAAGACTCGAGACTCGATAATAAAATGGCTCTAAAACCAACAAAAATAAGATTTATAACATTCTCCCATACTTGAGCCGTTGCTTGTCCTCAAACAAGAACAATTAAAAATCTAAATCTAAAGAGAAAGGTTTGCAAAAAGGGAACTCATATATCTTTGGGAATCTCTTATTTGCACTCTTCAACGCCTCGAATGGCGTTATAAAATGAGAAAGAAAACTCAGTGAAACTCAAGGAAACTCACGTATCTTTGGGAAACTCAATGAAACTCAATATATTCACATTTAATATGGAATGGCGTTATCAGCATTTAACGATCAATGATCTCTACAATTAGGTCAACAATCAAGTATGTCAAAGTGTTTTTAGAGATTTCCTTAATTATGAGATATGAATAAGAAAGAAACTTTCTTAAAGATAAAGGGTCATGGAATAGTCTCCAATGCCGTTGAGTCTTCCCGCAAGATTCTCAAATTACCTTTGTTGCCATCTGGTATATATCAAATCGTTGTTTTTCGAAGGAAATATTATCGTCGACTATATCTATGTTATATATCGTTTAGTAAAATAAATTTGATATTTTCTTAAAAATTCGAATGATTATATTTATACTCAAGGACTATATCAATGTTTTAAATTAAAACTCACGCAACGTGATGGATACAAAATCTAGTTAATAAAACAAAAATATATTTGAATATTTGCTAATAAAACATTTATTATTAAGTTTCATGAGCTTTTAACTTAAAATCAGTTGGCTTATGTATTTTATATACTAGTACTCAGTTATATTTTTGAGAAAATGTGCTCAAATATACCTTAAAAGTGAGTTAATTACTGAGATAACACCCATCAAGGGGAGTCTTACTCAAATAACACTTAAAAGTTGTCAAAAGTCTTTTAAGCCTCTCTAAAAATTTTATTTACATTTGTGCCATTTTGAATTAAAAAACCCCCCAGAAAAAAAAAATTATAAAACTAAGAGCAGAACAACCCTAAATCATTTCTCTCATTTTGGTTTCGACAACAACCGACGGCGGCGACCGTCTCCTCCGCCATAACCAATCCTCACCACCACCATCGTCGCTGTTACGCCACCGCACCAGAGCCCAACCGAAAAGCTAAATCCAATTCTTCTCTCACCAAGCTACTCCCGTCACTACCGCAACAACACTCACCTTCTCCTGCTCCAGTCTCCGCGACTCATTCTCTCTCTAATCACTTCTCTAACGTCGTAAGATGGATTCCAGATGGCTCGTTGGAGTATTACGCTGATTTCGCCTCGAAGCTCGCTGAGGATGGCCGAATTGAGGACGTCGCTCTCATTGTTACTTACTCTCTCATTGAGGACGTCGCTTCTCGGAAGAGAAGACCCCTCAAGGGATTCCCAGGTTACTTACTCTCTCATTGTTTCAGCACTGCAATTTAAATCTTTAACAGATAAGTGAGTTGAAATCAAAATTTTGTTTACATGATTTCTGCTTTTTTGGTATTTGAATGTTGAAAATAGCTATATCTCTATCTAGGATCAAGGGTGTAGAGAATCGAATTGAATTACTTGGTATTATATACTCAGTCCCAAGTAGGTATATTGGCCGTAGACTAGAATGAAATATTTTGGAATTTGCTCAATTGATGTGGAGGATTAGGGTGTCGCTATTTGATGCTACCAAAGTAGCCAAGTATCCATTTTTTCCAATCTTGATTTTCTTTAATGCGCTTATCTTTTCCTGTGCTCTCTTGACCAGAGTTACAAAGGCTAAGGTGAATGAGTACTATGAGAAGATTGAAGCTGTTGCTTCGAGAATAGCTGCTCAAGTGGTAAGTCATCTGAACTTGAAAGAGATTGTTCTGTTGGATTATAAAACATTTAGGCATTTGGTCTGAGGAGTTGTTTGAAGTTTGCTTTTTTATTTCCCCATGAGTTTAGTTTCAGGCAGGCATGTTTTGGTTTGTTCCTGTGTAGAACCATTTTAGTTGCAATTTCAAGCTTTGCTTCTGTAACTAATACCAAGTTATTGATTTTTTCCCCAAATTTACAGACTGACACAGAGTTTTCTTATGAAAATTTTGCAAAGGATTCGACCAGCGATAGTTCTCCCAATATAGAAGACGATACACGAAGCCCCACTTCTCCACAGCTGAAACGAAGAATCGTGTAAGTGCAATACTTGATTCACATGCTTCTCAACTTGTAAAATTTTCCTTTTTCTTAGCAACTTCCTTGATTCAGGTAGGCCTTTATGTTCCAAGGAGCCAAGCTATGACGCTGATCCCTCAAAACCAATAAAACTAGACACCGCAGCTCAAGCGCGCATTGACAAGCAGAGGTAGATATTCATAGATCACTGAGAAAAAACTAGGATCTCATTTGTTCTAAGCACTTTCTTTATATGAACAAAACTATCGCCAAGAGTATAAAGTTGTATGCTTTTGAATTCGAGTTGAATTTGACACTTCATGTCACATTGGTGAATCATTTGATGACAGAAAGCTTCAAGAGGATCTAACCGATGAAATGGTGGTACTTGCGAGACAACTCAAGGAGAGAAGTCAAATGATAAGCCAATTTGTGCAAAATACAGAAAAGGTGAGATGCTATCCTTTTCCTTACAAAACACATGTCCTTACTATTATCATCAACAATGGGATAAGAGGAGAATCTATATTGGTTCATATATTGTTTCTACTAGCTTCATTGTTCTTTAACATTTTTCTGTTTTTTCTTTATTGTTGATTCATTAACAGATACTTGACTCTACAGAGGAAGCCATTGAGCAAAGCTTGGCAAGCACCGGACACGCAACCGTAAGAGCCACAAAGATATATTCAGAAAGCTCAAAGACAATTTGCTTCCAGTGGCTCTTGATCTTCGCCATGACCTGTGTGTTCATAATGGTTGTCCTGTTGATCCGAGTCACATAGTAAAGGGTTCCTAGTGTAAACCAAATTAGTGAGATCCCAAATCCTCACTCTTGAAGCTGATAGAGGTCCTATTGTTAAGCCACATCTCAAATATCGCACGAATAACAAATATCTATTTTGTATGTATGATGATGATGTGTAGATTCCAAGAACCACAGATAAACCAGTTTCACTGTTTCAATACCTGAACACAAGATGTAGAATCTGCACGAATAACAAATATCTAGAATCGTCATCTATTTATCTAACTAAAAATAAAAGTTAGTATACCACGGCACTTGTGATCTTATGAAAATTAAATTAGCACATAGAAACAACATAATTACTTTATCAAAAAAAAAAAAAAAATTAGTATACCACGGCAAGTACTTTATTTTGGTATGCAATTTATATGAGTTTATGTTCTTGGTTCAACTTGTACAACTAAGAGGAGTTTAAAATTAAAATTATATCTATGAAATTTTAAAAATTAAATTGTAACAAGTGATTTTTAACATTAAAAACTTTAAACTTTAATAATTTATTACATTTTCTATTTTCAAATATAATATATAAATTTTTATAAATTTATTTGATAATAAACTTATTTTTACACAAATCACTCTTTGTGTAACCAGGAACATTTAGTTCATGATGACCTATATTGATGCAATAAATAGTGAAACTATTATTTCCTGAATATTTTCCTATCAAAACTTCTTAAAAACCGATCTAATGTGAAAATTAATGTGACCAACTAGATTTATATTTTCGATTTCAAGGTTCAACTTCAAAATGTCAAAATTTCATTTAGTTCAACTATGAAGGAATCAGGACAACAAGACATCTACATACAACTATGTACAATATCTAGTTGTCAAGGACCCCACAAAAAATAAAATGTTGTAATATAAATTTTTTTAAAGGGTAAAATCGACAATTCATAATGTTATGTTCGCCCTACTTAAATCTAATCGCTAACAATTTCTTCTAAATCTACCACCACATACATCCAAAAAAAACGCTCAAACGTGCTAGTTGAGTAAACCGTTACTCTGCCTCGTTATGACAGAGTTAAAAAATAACTCTGTCATAAGGATTAACTCTGTCATGTTACGACAGACTTATTTCGCAAAATCTGTCAAGTAACTCTATATCCCTCATTAAGTCTGCTGCCACTACATGTTACTCTTCCGCATAACTCAATTTTTTTTTAACTCTGCCACCACATACGTTAAATCTGTCACGGTGCTATTTTAGTAAACGTAAAGTCATCATAATCTGTCATGTAACTCTGGTTTTTTTTCAACTCTGCCACCACTGTAATTAACTCAATCAAATAACTCTATCGCCTTATTACTCTATCACATAACTTATTCAACCTAATAACTCTAACGTGATATTCTACCAAAACCTATTAACTCTATCGTCACTACAACGATAGACTTTTGATGTGGAGGGAAATTTTCCCTCTTAAAACTCACTTTCTCTCTCCCACAAAAATAGCATCTTTTAATGGCAGTTTTGTAATAACTTTTTTCCTACAACAATAATTCAAGGGTTATTTGGCCATTAATGATCATAGGAATAGTACAAGCTATATAAGTAATAAACACACTTTTATGTGTTATTTGAGTAACTCACCCTATATTTTTGTAAAATTATTTTTGCAACAAACTCTTATATTGATTTAACCGAATATCGGTACCACAAAAACGCATCCATGAATATTGAATATAGATTTTTTATAACGGATATATTAAAACACATGAAAAGGAACATAAACTTTTTGAAGATGATAAATAAAAACATCCTAACTATCAACAAAGTATCCCGAGAATTTCTGAATTTCCTAACTTTGGAAACACATTAAAATGCTTTCTAGACCAAAACACGCCATTAATCAACGAATTTGTTGGACCTAATTGAAAAATAGGTATGACGATAAAGATACAATTAATTCAATTTGCTCTAGACTCCGACCCGAAAAATATTATGGATCGAACGTATATGGTTACCAAAAACGAATTGAAAATTATGTTAGCAAACTCATTATTTTGGTGCTTTGGGAAAATGTCATTAAAACCAAGGGCAAGGTTCACGTTTGTGTGACAGGTTATTTTCAAGATGTCTGAACACTTTTGGCTGCTTATGTACGTTCTCTGCTCTCTCTCCCATTGTGAACCTTATGACTACAATTATTAACTATTCCCTTATAGTAACTCCTTTTTTGGTCCCACACCATATAATATATACCTTATCTATACGTATAAAACTTCTCTCTCTATTCATGATACGTACCACTAACACTTACATATTTAATGCTTCGATTTTTCTAATTATACATTTGTTCATCCATGGTTTATAATATGATTATGAATTCTTCATTATCCACTAAACTAAATATGAACATGAAAGAGTTAACAACTTAAAGCGAATAATAATGGGCTTCTTGGTCTTTTTTTACGGTAGAACTTTGTGCATATATGTGATATATTCGTTATAAATCGATGCTCAACTAATTTTTTGTTTAGTTTTATATATGTTGAACTATGATTTGTTGTGAAATATACAATCAATGCTTGCTCCTTACAATTAAAGATGCTCATCCATGGTTTATAATATGATTTATGAGATCTCCATTATCCACTGACTAAACATGAAAACATGCACACAACACAACCATATCTCAGGCTTTATTGCTACGTACATGTGAACAGTTCTCAAGATTCAAAAATATTCATAGCGCGCGAACATGTTCATTGGTAACTAAACGTATAAATCATAATAATGATTTTTTATCAGAAAATCGACGAGAATCATGTGACCCTTCAACAGGTGTACCTCTTTTCATCATTTATTATCATAAATCATAAACACATAACCAATTCTTCTCATCTTTTCCTCAACTATATATATACACATATCTCACTTATTCCACCTTTAATACTTCACACAAAACACATAACACACGTACTACTTACTTCTTCACATTTCTAGAAACTTCTCTTCAAAAACCTCTGTCTCAACCAGAAAGTTTCCTTTTTTAATCTTCTTGTTACAAAAATATTAAAAACATGACGAAGTTTGTACGCAAGTATATGTTTTGCATCGTCCTAGTCTTCGCCGCGTGTTCTTTGGTCGTTAACTCCATTCGCACGCCGCCACTAAGTCCGTCACATCAATATCTTTTTCTTTCTCTTTTTATTATCATATTTACTTGGTAATGATTTTCATATTTTAATATGATTTAACCTTTTTTTTTTGGTAGAAATCACGGTCAATGGCGGAGAAAAGAAAAACTCCGATATGGAACAAGCTCAAAGGCACCACGAGGTAGCTAGGTTAAGCCCACCACGGTGCACTTTAATTTACAAAAAGGAAAAAAAGAAAAAATGTGACATTTCTTTAGTTACATGTATGAGCTAAAATATCTTTTTTTTTTGTATCATAAAGACGAAATTTTAATATTTATAACTAAAACTTTTTGTAAACTTCATTTAGTTTTTCAGATAATTAAATACCAATTTCTTCAGCCCACATATTTAATTATTTTTAATTTTTTAATTTGTGGTGAAGAAGGAAATAGGGAAAAAAGGAGGGGTAGAAATGGAAATGTACCCGACAGGATCAAGCTTACCGGATTGTTCATACGCGTGTGGCGCATGCTCGCCGTGTAAACGTGTGATGATTAGTTTCCAATGCTCAGTCGCCGAATCATGTAGCGTCATTTACAGATGCACGTGCAGAGGAAGATACTATCACGTGCCATCTAGAGCTTGAATTGAATCTCTGCCGTTTATTTTATTTTCTTTTTGACGTTTGTGATTAAAATATCAGTTTTGGCGGGTTGGCGGCGAAACTTTTTTTTTTATTGTACAATATGTTGGGATATTTAATTAAATGCTATTGGCCCACTTTGAAGTCTTATAATTAATATTGGGCTTTATTAGGCCTTTTCAAAGAGAGCTTGAATGACACGACCGAATCAGATTCTTGAACCGTCACAGCCAAAGTTAAATGTTTCGGTTGGCCAATTCTTTTTTTTTTCTTTAAAGCCATCTCCATCAAACCGGTAACCGGTTGAACCAAAAAACATTATGTAACAATGTATAAAATTTTTCATACTATGATTAGTTTTGAAATTTATATCTTCTTACATTAATCTGATTTGCATTAGTTGAAGCAATCATTTTTTGTTCAAAAGTTAGATTAACGTTTTTTTTTTTGGTTGTTTTTTCTCCATAATTTCTAATTTATTTTATGAGTATACAGTATTCTATAGATTTTAAGTTTTTTAGAAAAAAAAAATATTTATGATAAAATTCTGCCTTGTGTTTAAACTTTAAAATATTTCCGTCTCGCTTTATAAAGTGAAGACTAGTCTATGTTATTTGATTATGAAAAAAAATTAAAATGATTTTTAAATCAGAAAAATAAAAAAAAAATTACTTTGACACATAAAAAAAGGAAAATAAATTTTTAATTATATTTATTTTGCCTTCCCATTTTGAAAAAGAAAGCTTGAAAAATATCCCAAGAAGACATGGTCACTAGTCGAACAAAGAAAGGTAATAAGAAAAAAAAAAAAAAAAAAAAAAAAAAAAAAAGAAAAAGAAAGGTAATAGGATTCAACTTGCAGAATTGTTAAATTTATAAATGACGCATATTAGTTGATTTGATTTTGTTTTACATAAATAACATATGACTGTTGAAATAGCTCAAGGCTAAAAAGTCAACATGAAATATCTTAGTCTGGTTTTATTTTCACTTTCCAGAATCCGAGTTGAAATAGTAGTATCCTACGAAAACGTTTGATTTTGTTATCACTCATCAACATTGAAAGATATCTTTTGTTTCTTTTTCTGGCAGCAAGTAAATGAAAAATGAGATAATGAAGCTGCCTAAAATTGGAAGGCAGGAAACGAAATCGAACCTAACAATGTTTTAGGCTCGCAACTAATTATCGAGTTGAACAATCAAACCAATTGATGGTTGATTTTCTTTATTTCTCGTCGTATTAATAATACGCGTGTAATAAATTAATAATATACAAAGATTAATTATTCATTTTAAAAATTTATAATACACGTGTAATAATATACAAAGATATTCATTTTAAAATTTATAATACACGTGTATAATATACAAAGATTAATATATTCATTTTAAAATTTCTGGACAAATTTTCTAGAGAACATGTAACTTACTAAAAATGGTTAAACTATTCAATTGTATTGTAAATAACCCTTTTCTTTGCTAGAAGATTCAATTGATTCTCTCTGTTTAGTTCCTCAATACTTATACCAATTGATTCAATTTTTATAGGTGACGTGTAGAGATTAATTTTGTTATGAGACAATTGGTAATAGATGTATTTACACACAAAAAAAGTTGTGTAAAAAATTAAAAAAAAAAAAAGTTCTACAGGTGCTTATCATGATAGGAAGTGGTTGATGTTATCTTCGATTGGCCGTGGGCGTTTTTGGTAAGTCTCTTCTACAGGTGCTTCAGAAGAAGAGTTCTTCTTGTTTTTAATGACTCGTGTGTTTCTTAAGATTTAAGCCTTGTTGCTTATGCTTTTAGTTTAAGGGTTCGTCCTCTTTCGTTTTAGCTTTGAGTTTTTCTGCTTTGTGGTTTTAGTATCTTCTGTTTCCTTTTTATAGGGTTTAGACTCCAGGATTTCTCGTGAATCCGTAGCAAATGCAAGCCATGTATCCGAAGAAAAACGAGGTTTGCATAAAACCCGACATGTCTGATCGTGCGTAGTAATAGTATAAGCAGTATGCGTAGATAAACAAACCGGTCGATCCACCACAAAGGAATGATCTGCAAATAGAAATTTGTAGAATCAGACTCAAGTTCTAATGATCAGAGAGAAAAGAATAGAGACGGTGAGCTGAGTTTAACGAACCTCCACCACCATTAGTGATCTTCAGCAGCGAGTTGGAAGTAAGTCAAGGCAACGGTTATAAAAGCAGTGAAGGTGATGAGAATGATGAAGACGATGCTGTAGATGGTGTAGATCCGGTGACCCCAGACACTAGCGAAAATGTAGTAAAGCTCGATGTAGATGGCACTGAAAGGAAAAAAACCAGCCATGGCCATCTGAGGAATAGCACTTCTGTACCAAGGGAGTGGTGGAATCTCACGGGGATATTTGGTTGTACGGCATGATGCTTGGAACTCCGCTTTGCTGTTTTTGCCCGCGATACCACCCAAGACGAGTAAAGGCGATGTGACTAGAGTCCATATAAGGACGATCACCACAATGGTTTCAAAGGGTAATGCATAGTGATGTTATTATGGGTTTACCCGCCCCATTTAAACCCACCCCATTTAACTTCAAACCCATATAAACCCATTTATATTTGAACCTCATTTAACCCTGCCCATTTAAATTTAGTAAACCCATGTGGACCCATTAAACCAATTTAAGTGGGATATTGCCTTTTATTAATTAATTCATAAACTTGATAGATAAATAACAACAGCCCATAAACGTTAGCTAAATCTGATTCACAGCAAAACATATATCCGGCCGTGTATTAGTCAAGTATATCAACTTACCCACAAGCTTGCGATAGAGTGGTGCATCGTTAAACTTCTCATCCTCTTTTCTCCCCCCTTTCGATCGACCTTGTAGCAAAAATAAATAGTGGAGGCTTGGCTGGTTTAGCATTCTCATAACCTGTCTCATATAACAAATCAAGAGTGTACTTCCTTTGAGATAAGAAGAGGCCCTCGGGTGAGCGACATACTTCTATCCCGAGAAAGTACTTAAGTTCACCGAGATCTTTAATATCAAAGGTAGACTTGAGAAAGGTTTTAGTAGTGTTGATACCTTCCTTGTTGTCTCCGGAGATGATAAGATCATCCACATAAATGAGAACAACAACTATACCTTGAGGACTTTGGAGAGTGAATAATGTATGATCAGATTCGGACTTCTTGAAGCCATGGTCTTTAAGAGTTCGGCTCAATTTGTGGTACCATGTCAATGGTGACTGTTTCAAACCATATATAGCTTTGCGAAGTCTCCACAC